GGACTTATCAGATTCGATATACAATCATTAATATACACTGTTTCAAATGCAAATGTGTTTTTAACACATCAAATAGTTGTAGGACGTACCGATCGCGTTGAGCGACGAAGTTCTTGAAACTTCGTCAGATGTGCTTCTACCACCTGATGATTTGTTATGTCTTACCGAGCACCCTGTGTCCACAAAACATTTATGCCACTCATTTTGTAAGCCTAGCTAGTAGAAGGATCTTTAGCGTATTTGATACGGAAAATTATTGTCGCTAACTTTGATTTTTCAAACCAAAACACACAGGTAGAATCTAGCGAAAGCGGCCATCTTTAACCCAACTGCCGCTAGCGCTCGATACCCTGCGATTAGGTACTAGCAAACCATGCGGGTCAAAACTTGATGTTTTCCTCTACAAAATGGCACTACAATCAGTTATGTAGGATCCCTGAATAAATTTGTATGACTTTTCAAAGCGTAAAGTCCTTTTTGAAACACCCTTTATAACTCTCTTCAAGGAGGATGCTTCCAATATTATAATGCTGACAAAAAGAGAAGTCATAGGATGACCATCAAATAAAAGGAAATACACACCACCCTTATTCTTACCGTAACATTACGATCAATTCTTTCACAAAACAAGTTAGTAAAACATAAACAAATTAAGAAAAAAAGTTCTACCCCGACCGAGAATAGAACGAGCATCCGTAGCACTGAGCCAGCGTCTCTTCTTGTACGCTTTTTAGAACAACAGGAAATATAAACATAACCACCGTTCATAATCATTATATAAGGTGGCGGAAGTTTTCCCGACTCTTTCATCAAGAGCCATTAACGGTTCTCTAACCATTACATATGTTTAAAGTAGGAAATTTTACATAAATTCTAACGAACAAAAACACGTTTAATCGTAAGTTGCAACATTTTTAGATTCGCATCACAACAGATGATATAGCAGTATAAGCATCTATCAAGGAGGAGTTAGAGATAACTTTAAATCAAATGGATGCGGTATTGACAAAACAGTACTGTTTGAAAATAAAAAAAGGTAAAACATAAGTACTGGTATGCAAGGGAAGAAAAAGTAAGGAAAGTGCGAATATAAAGATAGGAGACGAAAAATTAGAAGAAGTGGACGATTTTAGGTATCTAGAAAGTTAGATAAGTCAGGACGGAAGAAGTAGTAGGGATATAAAGCAGAGGATAGCGCAGGGTCGGGTCGCCTTTAATAAAAAGAAGTCACTTCTATGCTCGCGAACGGTTAATTTAGAAANAAATTAGAAGAAGTGGACGATTTTAGGTATCTAGAAAGTTAGATAAGTCAGGACGGAAGAAGTAGTAGGGATATAAAGCAGAGGATAGCGCAGGGTCGGGTCGCCTTTAATAAAAAGAAGTCACTTCTATGCTTGCGAATGGTTAATTCAGAAATTCGAAAAAGGTTGTTAAAGGTGTAAAACATAAACAGTGGGCGCGGCGGAAAAGAAAAGGTTAGACGCGTTCGAAATGTGCTGTTACTAGCGAAAAATGAGGATACCGTGGATAGGGAAGGTCAGAAATGAAGAGATATTAGAAAGAAAAGGAGAGCAAAGGACTCTATGGAAGTCAATAAGAAATAGGCGAGATAGGTTAGTAGGACACCTTCTCAGGCATGAAGGGCTAGTCAGAGACATGTTAGAGGCAGAAATAGGAGTTAGACCTAGATTAGATTACTGTTCGCAAATAATTAAGGATGTGGGTTGTTCTAGATTTAGGAAAAAGCGAAGATTAGCTCTGGATAGGAAAGAATGGAGGTGCGTGTCCAACCAGTCTTAGGACTGACGACCTTATGATGATTACAGTAGTGATTCTATTAGGAATTGAATCTTTGTCGTTTTTTAGTTACAAAGAAGCGACGTTTAAGCTTTTGAGCGTCGTTTGTCACCATTAACGACCAGCTGTTCCGTTTCCTTGTTGATTTCCGGTGCATGGTGGTTCACAGATTCTAGCTTGTGGCCAGGAATTTCCAATTATAGAAACAGAGTCCATCTGATTCATTCCCTCTACCTCTTGAATTAAATCTTGTGGGAAACGGGATCGAGGCCGTGGAGATTTGTTCCGACTTCTGTGTTTTTCGGCCACAATAATAGCGTCGATTTGTCTTCAGGTTTTGCTCTCTAACGTGCTGTTGTACATTTAGTTACAATTGCGCAAACCTTGTTGTTTTATCATACGATTAGTGGCTATCTGCGATGGTGATCGTATAATTTCGGGAAGAGGGCCTTACATGTTCACTGCATGGCAGGCAGAATACAAGTCTCTTGTTTTGAGTATATAGTCTGTCCGTTCCACTCTAGCTTTTAAATTTTTTGAGGGGGGAATCACCTGTAATGTTACTAGTAAATGTTTTTGTTCTTTCAGAAATTGAGAGGACTTTTTGTCTACGATAACTTCTTGTTCCAGGAGGTAGAAGCTCTTAAGACTGATTATGGCATTTTACAAATATTTACTCTCTTTTCAAAAAATTAAAAAAAAATCCATGAGTAGTTTCATCATGATGTAGCGGACCTCGACAAGGTGCTTTATCCCCAGAGAGCCGACTGCATAACTGAATTCTCTCCACCAATACAAAGAAATATTCCAGGTCGTTCTTAAAACCGCTATTTTGTTCAGTTTTCCTGTTAATAAAGGTATCATGCTATTAGTGTGGAAGAAATAGTTCATTATTCCCATTTTTAAGGCTAGAGATAGATCGATCTGATGCCTCCAACTACTTGCCTATCTTCATAGATTAGTTGATATTATTATGTCATGTAAGATTGGTGAATGTTCAATTCAATTGATAGCGAAAGAACAAATGATTTCATGAGAAGGTGCTCTATATTAACCAACCTTATAATTTTGGAAAATACTACAGATGGCGCGGTAAACGCCATCTGTAGTACGATGCTACATTTTAGGATTACGTATGCTCCAACAAGGTCCATTTAAATGTATGGATATCTACTTGCTGAAAACGAATCCCGGCGTAGCCAACCTCAACGTGATAGGCACGTTACCATAATCGAATAAAATAATTCGAAGTGGTCTGTATTCAATGTAGCATCGTGCTACAGATGGCGTTTACCGCACCATTTGTAGTATATTCTAAAACGCACTGTTAAGACAGCAGGTAAAAGTTGGTCTGTGTTCTGTCGGAGCTGCCTGCGACGTGCTGATGAGATCCAAAAAGGTCGAAATCGCGATCCGCGTCTGGCAGTTTCGACAGAATACAGACCACTTCGAATTATTTTATTTTAACCTTATAATTTATAGCGACTTCATATCTCTATAATAATTTTTAAGAAACATGTCAAAATTGAGATTATTACAAGTTATCTAATAAATTCTATTATTTCTACGGCAAGTTCAGTCAATTACATTCGAAAATTGTAATTTTTGCACTGTCATTAAAATTTTGTTTTCTCCGTATAATATCTCCAAACAATGGGCACATGTAAGGAAAACAATATTGTACAGGTGACTATGCACAATGTGTTACAATACGAACAACTTTGTTCCATTTTTAAGCTTCTTTTTTCGAAATGAAACTTGTCGTATCCACGTCAGCATCAATCTTCTTCACCACTCGTTTATATTCACCGATCATCTTTGAAACGGAAATGCGACATCTCAACGTCCTTTGCTCACATACAGAACCAGTATACATAAATACAATATCTCTGTATGTACGTATGTATGTATCTATGCATTTATGGGTAATAAACGTATAGCTATTTGTATACATATACCTATATTTACACTCATGTATTTGCTTTGTAAGGTCCTGTTTACTATTCAGTAGACACCATCTTATCCTTTCGATTTAAACGAACTAAATGAAGTGGAAACCCTATTGAAAACCATGCAAAATGCAAATACATGGAACATGCAAGTACTTATATGCTTGTAGGTAGGTTCAAGTCCTTACATCAAAAGTTCATTTTAAAAATTTTCGTTTATTGATCAATAATGTGGAAACTATATTCGATGAAAATTGCACCATAAATGTAAATGTAAAATTTGTCAAATTTTCTCTTACGATAATAAAACCACTCTAACCGGTCAAACATAAATGCAAAAATCAAACGCACTAGTAATTAAAGTAATTTGTAGCAAACGTTTAATCAAAAGGTTCCTTCGGCATTGAGCGCTCGAGGCAATCATAACTTCTCGCCTGAGCATCAGGAATAATATTCTAATATAATTGATACCTAATATTGATAAATAAGACAGTAAAAATTGAAACTATTACCCAACAATACATAAATAATTGAAATTATTAAGAATTAATACGCTTATAATTGATAATAATAAAAATAATAAACATTGAAAATATTGTTTTTATTATTAATTAAAATTATTAAAGATGACTACGCTTATAATGGAAGATATAAAACAATAATATGGTAAAACTGTTGTACGTATGTGGTTTTAGTGTAGCGTAGGCAGGTTTATAATGATAGCAAGATCCTACTAGAAATATGCCGTCCTTTTAATAAGGATGTAACCGGGCCTATACTTTTGATAGCGGATAGTAGCGGCAAACAGGGGGGAGGGGAGACACTGCCCCAGCACATATTTCGTTTTCATAGGTTTACTGCAAATTATGATTTGGTTCGGTTAGGTACATTTTAATGAATGCATTTTTTTTCCGTCAACACTTGTCGTAAGAGGTGAGAAAACTACGGCTGAGCTCAGCACACGCCGCCGAGACTCTAGCGGACTTTCCGCTCTTCGCGCGGCTGCACATTATATCCATCCAATACAGCTGTTGCCCCCTCACCGCCGCCACCAGCCTTTCTTTCCCTCCACCGCTGCCACTTCTCCCCAAGCGATATAACGTCTACCCCCTCCACGTGGCCGTAACGCTTTTCAGGCGTCTATAACGAAGTTTCACTTCAAAAAAAAAATTCACCGTGTATAAACTTTTAAATTTAGTAAATTAAAAGTAAGTTTGTTAAATTAAAACTAAATCAACTTTTATTTTGTTGCAGAGCGACTTAATGTCCTTTATGAGAAAAATTGGACAAAGTTAGTGACCGAGCAACTGAAGAGGTTTGAAAAGGCTGTGATAGAGTCCTCTGGGAAGGACGATTTTCCCCATTCATCGGGCGCCCATTGGACATTTGGGGGAGCACTTTTGTACACTATAACATTACTTACTACTGTCGGTAAGTTGATTAACATTAATATCTAATAGTATTGTAGAAATATTCGTACGTATGGTAAAGGTAAATAAATATAAACTGTCTGCCCCATTTTAAATTTTTCACCTAAACATCTCGTCAGGGGAAACACCAATCCAAAAACAACTTCTACAAAAATTGTTAGGTTCAAAAGAGAAATCGGATAGCAACCTACAGTTTGACCTTGAATTTAACTTTAGTCAGTTGAAGGTCACTAATAAATGCAGAACAATTAGTGTTGTTGGTAAAACTGTAAAAGATATCGAGATAGTGATCTTGACTCTTATTATCTCCATGACATTTTATTGTTTCCTATTTATTCAATATTTTTTAGTTGAAATAACTTCTGAAGGTCTTTCTGAAAAAGAGCCACAAGTACCAATGCGAACGTAAAATTTTGATATCTTTGAGGCCAAAAATAGGTTTTTTTTTCAAAACAATCGATTTGTTCTTCAAGATGGTGAAGTGAACTGAAGTCACTATCTGGAAGTGTCGCTCCGAATTCAACACCTGTTATAGTGGTCATATTTGGATTGGTGGCAACCGACTACCCTTACGAGATATTCCACAGTCAAGAATACTCACAAAAAGTAAAAATCAAAAAACAAGCATGAATCTATAAACAGAGGTACCTTATCGGTGACTATCTATCGGTATGATACTAAAACCCAAAATTGAATATAAAAGCGTTCTGAAAACCTAAAACATCAAACATGAGTCTCTAACTGAGCATGACGCCTTCGATAATGTTTTTATTTAAAATTTCAGATTTAGTGTTTTATTTTATCAGTTTCACAGAACCGTTTTTGATTTTCTTGCATCATGTAGTACTATTAGTCTATTCGAGAACTGATCTAGTTTTCTACCTAAAATTGTTCCAAATCTTCTAAAAATATGATTGATAGTTTATTCAATTCGGGCTGTCATTCTGACGGGCAATGAAAACGGCAATTGTTATTAACAATTAAGAGTTCAGTTGTTTGGCAATTGCTTAAAAACTACAATCGAAAGCGGAAATCGGAAAAAATCTTATAAAGGAGAACATTTCCGATAAAAAAGACCCACCACTCTGAACTCTTGCTTCATTCGATGCTATTGCTTCCCTGGAGTCAGACATTCGAAGACTGTAGCGGTTTTGGATATTTTCTCTTTCACATAATAGCATTTTTATTTAAAAGAAGGAAATGCATTGATTTTTATAAATGTTCTCGTTAATAACCAGACTAACCTAACTGAGACATTTATCGTACCTAATGCATGTTAATTATGCATTATGTAAAACATTTTTAATTCTTTTTATCATAATCATAATTGTATTTATGTATATTATTCAGGTTATGGTAGATTATCTCCTAGAACGGCCACAGGCAAGGCTGTGGCGATGGTATATGCAGTCATCGGAGTTCCTCTAATGTTGATCCTTCTTTCTGGTCTCGGTTCCCTACTAGCAGTCGGTGCGCGAAAGGGCTATTCGAAGTTATGCTGCAGACGGGCGGAAACGTCAACGGCTGCAAAATTCATGCCTTCAGTCGGATATCAGAGGGCTCCTTCGAGCCCCTCAGGAAAACACGTGTGTCGACCGCCTAACGACGGTAAGTGGGAGAAAGGGGTGTCAAACCTCCTGTTGCTCTTGAATTTTAAATATAAACTGTGCTTTTGTTTATGTTCATGTTTTATAATGGAAAAATTAAAAAATTTACCAATTTTAACTGTCCCTGGTCTACTAATTAAATTCATGGTGTTCATTTTTCTAAGCACGTATATGTAGATGTCAGTACTTGTCTGGAGTTTAGCTTTAGGACAAGGACCCAAAACCTACAGTTATTGGTTTGGTGACCCTTTTCGCATTTTGAGTAAAAATGAAAGGAATTCAAAGCTAAACATTCATGGTTATTCTACAAGTAGACAGAATTCTCCATTTAAAATTTAAAATGACTATGATGTTTAACACTATGTTTATTAAATATTATTTTTCCTAAAATTCACATTTTGATGTGATTCGACCCCTCCGGACTTATTTCAGAATTTCAACTTATTAAACTGTGATGCAGTGCAAAACTGGACTCCTATATTTCACCATAAACAGCTATATATAGTTGAGACGTATTTTCTTTCTTGTTTCCACTTGGGACTGCAGTCATTTGTTGCGTTTTAACCCCGCTCTTATTTCAGTTAAAAAATACTTCGTGAGTGAAACAATGACAACATACTGAAATTCTGCTTGTCTGCATCTCTTTCTGTTACACATCAATTGGTGTAATGTTATTCCTTTTTCTTTATTAGTGTCCGCTGCAATTCCTACCTGACATCTCTTTTCTACGTTTACGATATTCCCTACAACGTCATAAAAATAGGCGTTTTGTCCGTAACCGCTCTAGTCTNTACGCAAAAGATCAGGGTCGGCTTTATAACTGCCTGATTGAAATTATATTTTTAAACAAGTGTCTTAGATCTCTTAAATTCCTGAGAATGTTGAACTTTCTTTAAAGTCCGATGCTGGCAACATGTTCAAATTCTGTTTGTCTGCATCTCTTTCTGTTACACATCAATTGGTGTAATGTTATTCCTTTTTCTTTATTAGTGTCCGCTGCAATTCCTACCTGACATCTCTTTTCTACGTTTACGATATTCCCTACAACGTCATAAAAATAGGCGTTTTGTCCGTAACCGCTCTAGTCTAGTTAGTAAGTTGAAAGAAGAAAGTAAATGCCACAGTTTTATTACGACTATGCCAATTTTGAACGTCCCAACTATACGAAACTGTGTATTTCTAGAGTTGTTGAACTTAAGAAAGTTCAGATTTGAGCAGCAAGCAAAGTGACGGTATAATTTAATAAGGCAGCGCTATATCGACAACCCACTTTTAGTGAAAATTTTTAGCTTCGAATTTAAATTTAAATCGTCTAAAACTTCAGAATTTATATATGAAGTTTATAGGTACATTTATCATTTATTATAAGAAAATAATACCTAATTTATGTCATAATATGTTATAAGCCACAAGTATAATGATGTAGTGAAACTTTGTTTCGCAAAAAGGGTAGAAAACTGAAACCATAAAACTTTTATATTAAAATAATCACTATTTCAGCGTTGACTTTTTATCTTTTGTTTTTGTTAGGATTTATATATACATGTGTATAAAAGTAGAACTTTTTTNTATCCAAATGAAAAATTTATTAATAATAACCCAGATGGGGTTTAATCGACCTAATTTTAAAGTTCAGGAAAATTTTACAATTTTTTTTGAGGTTTTATTTTTTTATTGTTTTTTTGATTATTTCTATTCTCAAGAATAACAAAAGTTGTTAAGACTAAGTTGTATTTATTGGGTTGTAAGATAAAATTTGAAAATATTGAAATTCTTACAAACAAAAAATACCTATAGCTTTTAAAAATAAGAAATTTTATAGAAAAATATAACGAAAAGGTTCAAATTAAAATCAAATTATACAAGTCGACATTCAATAAAGCATGCAAGTAATTACTCGAATATTACAGTAACTTGAAGAGTACTTAAGGCACAAGGATACTACAGACCTTACTGGGTGATACCGGGTTAAATACAATGATAAATTTATTAATCTTATAGGTAATGTAAATCAAAACTCGAATTTTTATTTTATTTGTTGACCAGATACGAAAAAACAAACACCTCTAAGAGATACTCTACCTATGTTCTTTCGTTCTGGGAAGAAATCTAATAGCTAGAAAAGAACGTAGTTTATAATTTACACCTTTATCTTTTTTTTTAATTCTCTTTATAGATGCTGCATCAATTCAGATAGCCCCGAATCCACACGCTGCTGTCCAAAATCACGTCAACCATAAGCAGATTCACCTAAAGATGGAACACCATATTGTTCCAAAAAAAGTACTGCTGGCCACAGTCAGAACCAGTCACGCCCGTGGTCGCTGCGTCCAGAGCCAAGTCCGTCAAATGCTGACAGACACGCATTTTTGCCCATCACACGGTCTACAACCTCCTAGAGGATTTATCGGTACCATGCCGGGATCCGATTTGCAAGAAGTAGAGGAAGAAGACGAAAATGAGCAAAGGTACTGTTTTTCATTAATGATTTTAGAATACCCTTAAAATTTTGTACTGTGGGAACACTCGGTATAGCGAAAAATATTTATTATGTGTATCAATCAAGCGTCTACATTTGTGCTGACTTAGTTAGGTCGCGACACACTGCGACTAACTGGGTCAACAGCAAATACACACACAAATGTATTGTGCTGAAATGTTCCTCACCATATAAAACCATGTAAATAATTTAGTATAAATAGCCTGTAAATATTCAATAAAATTAGTCTAACACCAGGCTCACTCTTATTCTGATGCTGATAAAGTGTCAACCCTTGGGATCATCAAAGATGCAGATAATGTGTCCAACGGTATTACTAAATCGGTTCTTCTCAGAACCACAACTTTGATAGTCACATCTCTCATCATATACGACTACAGAGAGTGGCTACAGTACATACAATTATATATAAAAATATGGTAGCTTCATATCTGAAGATTAAAAGCGAACCCCTAATAATATCTTATTATCATTCACGCATAATTTCGTTCGCCTGTATGTCTGTTAGCGACAACCCTTTTCCTCAAAAAGTGTTTAACGCAATGGTTAAAAGGTTTTACCAGTAATTAAAAAAGGGTTATCAGATGACACGCCAACTCCCCAATAATAGAGATCCTACCTATAGACTACGGTATTGTTAGAGCAATGGCAGCAAAACTGATTTATGACGACCAATATGCGAACACGCGCCTTCCTGGGGCATTTTTACAACTCCGTCAACATACCGATATACTCCGACATCTCACCAGCAAACTAGCACGACGCATCATGAAAGACCGGCATTCATATTCAAGTACCCCACAAATACCGCCCACGTATTCGTACAACTACTAAATGGAAGCTTATCCACACTTCAAACAACCACAGTTGTGCCAAGCTGGAATAACAGGACACCCTGGGGTCTCCCCTCCGTCAGTCAGATTGGTCCCCGGAAACCACCCCAATGCCTGAGGAACAACGAGACGAGTAACTCCTAGGTTCAGGTCTATTCTATTAAGCGATCAACTTAGGGACTACGCAATGAACCAGGTGCATCACTACACAGCCCCCTAAGCCTGTATGTGGGCTATAAGTCAACTGTCTCCTCGAGTCCAACACCGATTAGCGGAGACGAATCGAAACTAGACTCTTGGGTATCCCCCGCCGCCAAGGCACAGGTATAGGCACTTCGGTGATCATAAGCCACTCTGGAGCACCTTTCGCTGGGTGACATCCGTTTTGCCGTATACACGCTATCTCCAGACATCTTTTAGTCTCCTGGCTAGCCTAAACTACAATACTTTTCGCCTGCAAACCCGATCCAAGTACAGCTGCTTTACCTTACACGCCTCACGTTATAACCCCCCTCAACTCTGCTGCCTACTGCTGCCTACTGCCAGAAATTTTACTTTGCCTTGAACAATAGGTGTAGGGAGCGACCACCCAGAGGGCCGTCTCCGTTTCAACGGGCAACTTTCATTGTAAGAGATGACAAGGTCCCACGTCAACCTACCGCGTGCTGGACACCGAGGTCGAATGTCAGCTGCCGCTTACTTTTCCCTCGGAGCTTCCGAGCCTTTCTATGGCACACCATCACACGGCTGCTTTCGGATTTTCGCTCATGTGCGTTGGGTACTTCCCACTTTAACTTTGCCTCCAAACGCCCGCGGGTTCTTTAGCTTTGCCGTATCGTGAGCATGGGTACTGAGGCCTCCCCATATTTCTACAAGGTGAAGATCCTGAGGGAGGGGTCCCTAGTGTTTCAAGTTACCCTCAACTCTGTGACCCCGCTTGATGCTCACCACTGTTACAGGATACTTACTTCGCCTTAGACTGGGGCGTGGAGAGCGCCTTCCAAAGGATCACTGACTTTTTGACGCCTATCGAGATTAGATTCCCATGCGATTATTACACTTGCCTCTGCCAGTATTGTAAATTTTCTTATCAATTTTATGTATATATATTTTATAAATGAATTTTTTTCTTCCTTTTTGTATAATTTTTATCTTCCACGCGTAATTTTCCATATTTCTGATTCTGAATGTGGATATCTGTCTCTATCGCTTAAATGTTTTGATATTCAGTATCTAACTCTAAGCATTGCCTTAATTTCTGCTATCCTTATCCTACTCTTAACATATCCCCCAAACTTCCAATTTATAAAAATCCCTCCAACTTTTTGGTCAGTCGTTTACAGTCAACCAGTTTGTTATCGTTTAATGACTCTTAATCAATCGATCCAACACTATCCCCCAACCACTCGTCAGTCTCAATTAGTCCTTAACCTACTCACTCATTATTTTCTAATTTATAAATATCTTGATTTATCAGTTTTTCAGTTAGACTTAGAGTAGATATATTCTCTACACTCATATTTTGTTGTTTTTATTGTATAGTGTCAATTTAAACGACCATATATGAAATAACTCTGTTTTCATTTTTCTTGACTTGTGATATCATATTCCCATAGTTTTCTTCTTTCTTTCAGTTTTTCGCACAATACGCCTTCAAGGATGCCTCTTATCTGGCAATCGTCTGACCGGGAGTCTAGCAGAGCACCAAGTCCAAACACCTCCAGCAACACGACATCCTCGACACCGGCTGTGCCCGTAGTGCTAGTGATACTGTTCCTTATCTCATACGTTTGCCTAGGGGCGACAATTTTCACATTTACCAGCGGGTGGAGTTTCCTAGATGCAGCCTACTTTTGTTTCATAGCCCTCTCCACTATTGGAATAGGCGATCGACTTCCCCAAAACTCCGACTACAGCACGCAACTTCAGCTCCTCGCTTGTTGTTTATACTTGTTCATTGGACTTGTGATAGTGGCCATGTGTTTCAGTTTAGTGCACGACGAAGTTGTCACCAGGTGTCGGCAATTTGCCATCACCATGGGACTGGTGAGACACTGACAAAAATCTCAATGTCAAAATGGGACCACGGACAATTTCGTGTAATTTGAGGAAGGCTGTAAATAAAATATTTAAATTATGGTCCAAGTGTCTGTTATTAGTTTCAGTCGTTTAGGCGCTTTTCTCTTTGTTTATTTTTTCGACAGAAAAGGTAAGTTGAAATGAAACAAAAAACTCAATCCTTTTATTGATTAAGTTTTCTTTATTAATGATAAATTAATAATTTTATTAGACAGGGAATCAACAAATTAAAAGAAAGATATTGCAGGAAGCGTCCATGCCACTAGTGACATAATTTTGGATAGATACGTGATCGTGAGTGTTCTCAGCTGCAGGTCTGACGCTCGAAGCTAGCGGAAATTTTAAAATGGTGTGGATGCGCGGTGGCAAAAGTAGGCAGTTTTAAGTATAACAATTTTTTAATAAGTTATGTTTCTGTATTATTTCCTAGTACGCTACTGTCCTATCTATATTACTACAATAGTTTACGCCTACTGAAAGTTTATTTGTGTATCGGTTCCCAGTGTTTTGGGGAAGTATATGCGCGATCGCTCGCCAGCTTCGTTCGTCCAACCTGTACGATACCGACGGTCCGTAAATTCACTTCTCGATAGATGTACTACTTGTTTTCACTTTTCAATTTGTTTATTTGATGAGAAAGGCACCATCAGCGTAGCGGATGTTGTCGTGACTACTCGGAATTATTCTTATAAGTTTCAATTAAGTTTGAGACTGAAACTCGCTGTAGAATAGCTACATTATCAGTAAAATTATCGCTAGTGGCAGAGGGCAGAGTATTCCTTTTTATTAAATGACCAGTGATGATAGATTAAACATGATCTATAATTTAATAAGAACGTTTATGTTAAGTTCTTGATCAAAAATTTATAGTTATCGGTAATTTTCCAGAAGTGGGGCTCCACACCAAAATCGCTCCAAAAATTTTTTCATCGATTTCTAGTCATTTCTAAGGGTTCAATGATTATATTTGAAGCGTGGGAGGGTATATGGTGTATGCATAACTGTTTTTTCTTTTAAAATTAATAAAAGAACTGGTAAAGGTCGAGATGATGGCCCCCTTCGGGGGTGGGGCCATCATCTAGACCTTTACTAAAGAATTTGATCGTGAGATAAGGAGATTAAAAGCTTGTATAACTTTTAACACCCCCCC